TCTGATTTCCAGTACTGTTGTAGTATTGTAAAAATTCTGTACAGGCAAAGTCAAACAAATAACTTGTCATTTAATGTAGATTCACTGTCAATCAACACAATAAAAAAGATCTCAATAGATAGTTCTTAAATATGTCTTGTGTCCGTTTAGTATCAGGAAGGTAGGTAGAGTTCAGGATGATCATAAAATCTGGGACAGCACTCTCTTTTTCACATTTGATCTTGAGTTCAATTAATCTAGGTGGCAAAACCATTAAGCATCATTAATCACCTTGTGCAGAAGCTCTAATTCCATTCTTTCAGCCTCAAATTTCTCCAAATGCTGCACCCTTCTGGCATGGTCTTCTTCATTCTGTTTTTCCTGTGCTTCTCTCTCAGCTTTCCACTTTTTCCTCTTGTCATCTTCAATCTCACTTTGTCTTTTTTCCCACTGCTCAAATTCTTGTCTACATTTTTCTTCTACTTCATGATAAGTAAGGCTTATATTCATTTCAACACCAGCTACAAATTTGTAATCAAGCAAACAAACCTTTTATTCAATTTAATAAGCTTTGGAGGACATGGTCTTTATGCATTGATAAAGAAATACAACCCAAAGGATTCTGTGCTGATATAGCCAGCAATATATATCCCCAACGAAATCAGAGCTACAATTAGCTCTTTCTTTGAATGATTTATACTGTACCATGTGAACTATTATGAACACTTATTATTGCATCCTCTGGTGCTGCCACAGCAATATCTATTCTACCAGTGTGTGTGCCAGGATTACACTGTGTTCAAGATAAATGCCTTCTCTGGCTATTAGCAGGGGTTTTTATATCTGATGTATTCCACTTGAAAACATGCAAAGGCTGGGGCAAATGGACACAATCCAAACCAATGTGAGTATAAAAAATAAAACAAGTTGTGGCTAAAGAATAAGCATCATTTTACTGACTCCAATCTGGCTTCCACTTGTGGGCTGTTATTTTTAAGTTACTTAGGTGTTTCTAGGGTAATATTTTCTGAAATAAATTTCTATTGAGACATTGAAGACAATGATAATTCTGTGATTCCAAAATTAGATAAACCACAAGCAGTCCATGAAGGCTACTGCAGGTTGTAATGTGTATTTTTTTATTTTTATTTTTATTATTATTATTATTATTTTTTACACAGAGTATTATGATTCTTATGAAAACAGAAAAGTAGGAAGTAGTAACCAACACAAGCAAATGAATAATGCACTTGCTTACCTGTGAGAAAGAGGTCATCAGTGACTACTTCACTGACAGACTGATTATTATAACTAGGAGTCGTAAGAACTTTCAGGTCTTCGTTTTCAATTTCAAATTGTACCTAACATAGTTTAGATTGTCATTAAGAAACAAGAAACAAAAATTAAAAGCAGAACATTATACAAATCTCCCAGAACAAGCATAATGTTTTTCATCTTACAATGAAACCCACTGCTGTCTGCTATCCTTAGAACACTGAATAATGCAAATGGGACAGTCAAAAGATATTTTCTAGAGTAAGAAATATTACCATAATTCCCCTTGAAAAAACAGTACTTCTCTGTTATTTATTTACTTAAGTGTATTTTGCATTTTTAGCTTGGAAAAATAAACTCTTTGTATTGGGGGTTGTTTTTGTTCTACTTTCTATAGAAGCACTATAATTATGCATCCAATCTGTTAAGGACATAGTCAAAGAATGAGTCGCTCATACACTTTTAAGCAGTCTATTTGAAAACAATGCTATGGACACCAAGATTTGCTGTATTTCATTCATTTTTTTCAGTGTCAAGAATTAATCTATTCCTCCTTCATCACATGCTTGGGATACAGATTAAGTTCTAAATTCACAGAAAATAATTTTGCTATTTTAAACAATGCTCTTCAGAGAATAAAAATTCATGTTTGCAAGAGTGCTCAATAATAAAAAAGAGGTGACAAAAAAAGTGATTAAATTCAACACAGTTGAATTTAAGGTTTGTGTTTTTATAAAATTTTCAGCAAAGTATTCTCTCAAATCTCATTAAGATATAAAAGAACTGAGGTTCATAACTCTTGATTTGTCCTTGAGAGCTACAGGCATTAACATCCTTCTAATCATCATAAAAAGAGTAAGATTAAAGTGTCAGAAGTGTTACAATACTATTGAAATATTATTCTTGGAACAAAGAAGAAATCATTATTCAGTTTTTTGTTAATTGCAGTGCTGAACATCTCAAGGACTGATAAAGAGAACTGAATCCAAACTTTAACTTATAAATGTGGTGCATTGCATTGAGTCCCATTTCCAAAGAACAGCATCAACAAATGCAACTTAATACCATATGAATAGTCTAACACAAATAAAACTGAATATATCTATATGTCTCATTAGGAAGCTATCTAAACAAGCGTAAATTATTTACTATACTGAATAGAATTTTGTTCACTACATACATCATTTAAATAGTAAATACCCTTTTTTTAAATTGTTCTCGATCTTCATTATACTCAGAAGCCAATTCTGCCAAGTTATCTGAAGCATAGCAAGGAATTACTTCATGACTATTACCTAAAGAAGAAAGAAATATATAATTTAGTACACAGAGAGAAAATCCACTGGCAGTACCCAGTTTTGCTCTATACTACCTAACTACTATACTTCTTTATATTTAAAAAAGTAAAGCATTTTTTTCCTTTAAATTCTTTTCTCCAAAAATAATTAAAACAACACAAAAAAGCAACAACCAAAACAGAACACACGCTATGATGCTGTAAAAGCCCAGTGAGAGCAAACTGCATTTGTGAAAAAATTCCACAGTATAAAATAGTTGAACATGTGTGGCATAGAAACAGTTAGTAGAACTCGTGACAAGCAGGTCACAAGAACTACAAAAATAACAACAGACAGCTTATTATAAATAGGAAGATGTAAAGTAACCTTTCCCTATATCAAAATGTAAAGACAATATTGAACTTTTGTTCCCAAAAAACTACATCAAATGTATTTGAAGACCACAATTCTGTGAATAATTAAAATGCAACAGAGAATTCCAGGACTATGAGCCTGACTTTAGACACACAGCTGGCACAGAAAAGCTGCTCCCAATGGCAAGGCCATTTCATTTAATGCTAGCTTGGATAACTGCAGACAACCTATGGGTCTCCATTGTATCTACACTCTTAACTTTAGCTGGTAGTGACCTCATATCATATCATATCCTCATGAAGAATCTGTCCTAGGTTCTGTTTCAGAAAACGATTCTGTAACTTGTGTTGTTCTATAGTTTAGCATGAAATGAACTTTTAGGAAAGAAAAAATTAATTCAAACACGAAACTTAATCTGAGAATACAGCATTACATAATTTATTCCTAGAGACTCAGTGTGCTTTCAGAAGCTGATGCAATAGGTTTTACTGCTTGCTGTACTTAAAAGTTTGCATTTTACTGATGATTGTTAGTGACAATACGAATTGCACAAATATGCTGTGATGCCTGCTTACTTGTAGTTTCTTCATCCTCTAAGTCTTGCAGTATAACCTTCTCAGCATCTTGATTTCTGCTCTTTATGAAATTTAAATAGGAAAGAACTGAATCTGGCAGATCATCTGAAATCTAGAAAAATAAGACAGTTCATGTAAATTCTTCATTTTCATCTCACTGCTACAGCAAAAGGTAAATACTTAATATGCAAGAATACTGATTCAGTTAGGATTCACCTGTAAAACACCAAAGAAAGTTTAGTAGCACTTGCTACCAAAATTATTCACAGTGTTGGTGCTGGGAATTCTCACTGTTCCCACTGTCTCATCCACTGAACAATTAATAATTATCATTCTTACACTCTAATAAAATTTTCATTAGAACACATAAGCTAATTAGTAGCTTATCTTCTGAAAACTTCAGAAATATGTTTCAATTAATATTTCCTTGGTAACTGTCACAGATAAAGAAATTAAGAGTTAAGACAAAAGTTAAAAAATTAAAACTAAAAAAAAAAAATTAAAAACTAAAACATACAATGCATGGAATCTTTTCCATAGGGATGTTACAACCCCTTCAGAAGGGAAACTAATTTTAATTTTGGTGCAATAAACATTTAAGATATGTACCTACATCTGATGTTTCAACTTTCTCTCCCATGTAGACATTTCCTACTCAAAATATCACCTTCTCAAAGATTAGGGAATGCCTTCTCTAGATGTATAAATTGTTGTAAAGACTGCTGGCATTTTAACATGTGAGCGCATAAACAACAGCATTGATGCCTTGGTCAACCACCATGTGTATCAAATTTATATGATTAATGGTCTCATATGACTAAGTACACTAATATCCTATAGATATTAGATCATCTACTTGAATATCCTATAGATCCTGTACAACTTTTAATCACAAGTAAAAGCAGTATGAGCCGTCTGAACACTTACTGACTCGGTGTCACTCACAGATTCCTCTGATACCACTGTGTCAGGTTCATCTGCTTCAAAGGAAGAAACACTGATTCTACTTAGTTCACTTTCTATTTCTTTTTCAATTCCTTCAATATCTTCTGACATTCTACTTTCCGTAGAGTCGTATCTGCTTTCAAAGCTACACAAAGAAAATATTACCTATCACTACCACATCAGCCAAAATAAAGAGTGTACTCACTTAGTGCGAGCTAAATATATAAATACTGAATAGCTGGCTTCAAATTTCAGAAGGAGCAGCAGAAGTTTGCTCTAAACACTTCAGACCACAGAAGAAGCAAGCAACAGGTAAGAAAAGCGTTTATCCCTCTCCTCACCCAATCTGGGGACAGGGAAGCAGCTCACAGCCGCTCCTTCGCAGGGAGAGAGCACCTTCGCTCCCTCCCGGCTCTCCCCTCAGAGCAGGGCATGGGATACGTTGATAAAAACCACTCCTTCCAGAGGGCACCGCGGAAGGGCATCTCCCTGCGGCTGCACTCTGCGCGCTGGAAGCTGCAGCCCACCCCCTCCGGGCAGTTGCTCCAAGCTCTAAGCAGCCACTCACCTCTTCTACTACCCGCAGAGAAGAACGGACAGCCCCTCCGCCTTTAAACCCCCCAGCCACTAACCGCCGTCGGGCAGACCCCGGAAACGGAGGGCGAGAGTCCACCGCGCCGAGCGCGTCACCATGGCAACGGGACGCTCAGGCGGCGGGCGGGAGGGCGCGCCGCGCGTTGGCGATTCGCGCCCGGGCTGGGGGGTGGTGCCCATTGGAAGGGTAATGGGAAGGGCTGGAAATTAGCCAGGGCTGGAAATTAGCCTGTCCTAATATGGAAGGAGTCCGCGTCATTCAGTCAGGCAGAAGTAATGAGGGGGGCAGGGAGAGTGCAGATGGTATAGGTTTAACGTGAGGTGGTCCCGGAAGGCCTGACGAGGAGTGCAGGGATGCCTATAGCCTGACAGCGAGAGCTGGCAGGCGGAGACAGGCAGGATTCACATGGAAAATGTGGGTACTGGGGAGGGTCTGCCATTCACAGGAGGCACAGAGGAGTGTTTTGGGT